CCTAGGTCCTTCTGTTCGTTCACATCAGGTAGTTCTGTGTCCCCTAGGGAGTACGACGTATAAGACTTCTGACCTAAGTGCATTACCACGCTTTTCTTGGAATTAATTTCCAGACTCCAAAGGTTAGCCCATTCAGCTAGTTTATCTAGATCGCTTGTAGTACCAGCCTTTCATCGTTACTATTTACGGTTTTCCATATTTTAATATCGTCCGCAAATAGTAAGGAAGATGCGGTAAGAATTTTCGGCACTTCATTTACGTATAATAGGAATAGCAGGGGGCTAAGTGCAGTTCCTCGAGGTACTCCACTTAGTACTGCTTTCCACACTGACAGTACACCATTATCCCCTAACTTCTGCCTCCTATCCACCAGGCAGTCACTAAACCATATTAATATATGTGTAAAACTTGGGCACTGTGGTAGTAAGTAATTCCATATTAGTTTGTTTATTAGGTATATCACACAGTGAAACAGTATTATTTACTGGATGACGTTTCGAACAAAATTTATTGTTCATAATCATATCAATTGTGATCAGACGACTTTGACACTTGAGTTTTATAGTTTTCTTTCTCTTCTCCTATTTGTCGTCGTATGGGTAGACGAGTTTTCCAGATATCGGGGACAGGTGATGAATCATTCCTATTACAAGTATTTGCAGTTGATTCGATAAATAAAGCTTCTGTTATCAATCTCCCCCTATACCCTGTGACATAAGATTTTAAAACTGTCATCCTATCCCATCCAATTGTATGGTTGTGTGTAACTGCATGCAGTGGGTGCTATAGCTGAACTATTCTCTAGATTTCTTATTTTATTCGGGTCAACCAATCTAGATTTTGCTAAGTTTTTATGTTCACCTAGTCTGACTGCACCTGTTCTACTAGTTTGACCTATGTATTTGACCTGACAATCATTGCAGGGTATTAGATAAACTAAATTGTTTTGTTTTATAGGCTCTACAGGATCCTTTAACCAACAAAGCTTGTTTCTAATTGAGTTTGTGGGTTTGAATGCCGTTTTTATTCCTGCCTTGTTGAGAATTCTGCGTAAGGCTTCCGAGGTTCCTTCCTTGTATGAAATTACTACTGATGATTTAGGTTCCTTATTACTGGTGTCGTCATTAATATTATTATTATTATCACTATTATTATTATCATTATTATTGTTATTATCACTATCGCTACTATCGTTATTTATTTTATTTTTACATTTCCTTACATATTTCCTGACTAATTTATCCGGGTAATTATTAAGTTTCAAGGCTTCTTTTATATGTATCAGTTCTTGGTTTAGATTTTCTTTGGTACTACTTAATTTTTGTGCTTTGTCATTTAAACACCACCACCAATCCTATTTTTACTGACATAGGATGGGATGATTGGAAGTCCAAATATCTGTTTGAGTGTGTGGGTTTCCTGTAAACACTAGTGTTTAACTTCCCATCTTCTTTTCTCTTTACGTTGCAATCTAACATTGGGAGCTCCCCTTCCTGATTTTCCAATTCATAAGTGAATTGAATTGCCTCAACCTTCGAGTTTATGTGTTCGAAAAACCTATCTATATCTTGTGTTCTAAGTACAGTGAATGTGTCATCTACGTACCTCCACCATACTTTTGGGGTGGGGGTGAACGTTTCAATCGCTATGCTTTCCCACTTATTCATGAATATATCTGCTACCACTGGGGATATTGGTGATCCCATGGCAACTCCCTCAGTTTGTTTGTATATTTTCCCTTTGAAATTCCAAGGGAAAATATACAAACAAGGAGATTAGCAGTCTAGGGTGAAGTCCGTTTAGTCCAGGTGATTTACCTGGTTTCAACTCAGACAGTAGTTTGAGAACCACTGCATCATCTACCACAGTTAGGGGCATTTTAGGAGCTACATCAGTTACCTCGCTACACGCCTGGGTGGTACGATTAGGCGAGAAAACATCACAAAAGTATTCGGAGAGCTCCTCAGATTTTGTTTCGTCTGACTAGGCGGCCTCTCCTGTGTTGCTAATGAGGGACGGTATGCCACTACTAGTTTCAGTCCTGCGTTTGAGTACAGTCTTTTTGGATACTGCACACAATCCAGTGCTAACTGTCTCTCATACTCTATACGACTTTTGTCAATCTCATACTTACAAAGGTTTCGAACTTTGCGGTATTCCATCAGAAACTCATTCCTTTCAGTCACAGCAAACCGGTCCCATAAGTTCTTTCATTTTCTTAGTAACCTCCTTATTTAATTGCTAATCCAAGGTGGTTTATGAGATAGTTTTCGAGGCGTAGACCAAGGCACAAAGGGTGCAGTGACGCACTCTAGTGTGTTCCTAAATCCCATCCAAGCCTCCTCGACAGTCTGGTATGTATAAACAGACCAGTTAGCTAGGGTTGCTGCATTTCGGATCGCAGGTATATTCGCTTTCCAAACGTTTGGGTGAGCAGCTGTTGACCTATGTATGACAGCCTGGTTCCTGAACATAAAAGTAATAACTATGTGGTCACTACCTCCTATCTGCGCCAGGCACCTAATGTTACCAACATCCTCCTTCTGGTGTGTTAGCACCAAGTCTAGAGTGGACGGATCATGTTCAGGATGGTATCGTGTTGGTGCATCCATATGCTGTACAAGTGCGCATTCAAGTACTGCCAGTATTAGTTCCCTGTTGAAACAATTGTACGACGTAGCTGAAGTTAATTCCTCCCAATTAATATGCGGGGCATTAAATTCACCTACTATTAGACACCTATTCTTTCTACTCCACGTCCTGAGGTGATTTATAAAGAAATCGTCAGCTTGGCTGGTATGACTTCTATAAGTAACCCCTATCGTTACAGTGCCTTTGTTCAAGTTAATGACACAACCTGCGGCTTCACAGGTGCCACTGTCATGAGCTTCCGACAACGTCGACCTAATTCATATGTGATTTCGGATGTATAGAGCGACCCCCACCTTTCAGACTACTTACTCTGTCTGCTCTAATGAAGACGCACCCGGGTATGAATGAAGTTAAGTCTATACCCATTAACAACCATGTTTCGGTGATAGCAATCACATCCGATTGTAGTTCCTCAGTCAACTCTCCTAGTTCGGGAAACTTATTCCTAAGACTACAAGCGTTCGTGTAGCATACTGAGAGACCTGTGTTCACTCGACTTATGAACAGAGGTCTGGGCAACATAGGTTTCCGAGACCTCACTACCCGAAAACCCAACAGTTTGAGGTCTTTTCCACCTTTTTCTAATCCAGCCTTTAATTCAGCCACGGTTTTTCTTCTCCTAATTCTGTCTTCCAGAGGCCAGTCTGGCCTAATTCTCACCTTTTTATTTTTGATCTTGAATGCGTTTTTGAGAATGATTGTTTTCTCCATCTCGTTCTCCAATACTGTCTTCAGCATCGGCGATTCGTTTACCGATTCTGATGACTTTCCTTAAGTGAACACCATTTGTTTTTTCCGGAAGTATTTCACGGATGATGGAGCTAACTATCTCGAGGTCTTCAGTATGTCGAGTAGCTGGATCTACCTTCTTTGATTCCTCCAAGTTTCAAATTACTATACTGTAATTTGAGTCTGAAGGTTTAATCTTATCGGTGTTTACTGCCGTTGAGACCTTATCACTAAGCACAGTACTTTTCTCTTTCCTATAAATCTTGAGCTTCCTATTCTTCGGCACTAGCCAGTTGGAATCAGATGTTTCCACTTTACTCTCGCCGCAGCTGGAAGCCGTGCGTTCACCAGACACGCAACGCTTCATCAATGTGGTATCACCCTGTTGTCTTACAATGTTGGCACTGTTTGCCCTCCTAGGTTTTCGGGGATTTTTGTGTGCTGTTGCAGACTTCAGGGCACACTTTACCTCTGTTGCTTCTTTCGAAGCCAGGAGATGTGGTTCTGTCCCAGTCTTATGACTCAGGCCAGAATCCTCGCTAACGACATCAGTACTAGATGCCACATCAGAGGTTTTTGGTAACTTCTTGTACATGAGAAGTCCTACGGCCTCTTGGATGAGGACATCCAACGGGTTTGTGCAAAATCTGCACATCCACGGAGATGATGGCTTGCTGCATCTCCTATAGGCTGATGGTGATAAGCCAGTGCAAACTTTATGAAACCATAGGTTGCAGTTATCACACTGCATCCCATCATCCACCGGAAAGTGACAGTCCGGTCGTCCACAATTATTTATGGGACTCATGTCAGTATTAGCTGTTTGAGTTACACTTAAATATGTATACATATATACCTAAATACAGAGATACAAAAACCACACGAAAAGTCACAAAAGTGCACAAAAATAAACACTAATTCAACTAATTAAACTAGTTAAAGTAAACCAAAAAGCTTCTGATGCGATTTACACAACAAAAGCAGAAGTTACTTCACAACGTAAAAATGCCACTCTTCTTTTCGAAGCGCGCGCCGAATACAGTAAACATATCTAGATAGCGTTTCGACCCTGTCAGACACTAGGTAAACTATCAAACACATGTAGCCAATAAGCCACATCTTCATTATTCCCCCCGCCCCCCAAAATAGACACATTTACCAACCAACCACACGTTAAACTTTAAATCCCTCACAAGAAAAATACAACAGAGGATAAAAGAGAGTGTTTAGAAATCTCTAATACTAAAAAATATATTTTCTTCAATTTTTTATAATATTATATGTATATATGTTTAACTTTATATAAATAATCTACACTAGTAATAACAATTCGATTTCTGTGCATCATAAATAAACTATTATATGTGTATTATCGTAACAGTAATAATAATAATAGTAATAATTTACATTTAGTATTAAAAATTACTGCTTTCTGTTCATTGTATATTAATGTGTTTATCGATTTCTCGAGTGATCGATCAATTGACTAGAAAATAAATGAATATATATGTGTGGTTAACAGAAATTTTAAAAAGCCCACAGTTTTTTTATAGTTTAATTTACTTCAATAAAACAAACAAACAAATCTTTTCTTTTCTGTTGACAATTGAATGAAAGACAGTTTAGAAAAAAATGAAGGGGTCCGGGGGGGGGGGGGAAAGAAATAAAAAGTCAGAGATACTTTTTAAGATTTTGAAGGCATTGATTAAAAAAAGAAGAAAAACAAACAGCAACTGTGTTTATTTATCTTTCCATTGATAAAATAAAGTTCAAAATAGTCTCCGCTACTCTTCACCATAACATGTGTATACAGAATACACTTTAAATAATGTGTTTGTGTTAGGTGAAACAAAGGAGGGGTTTTCTTTGTAAAACATACAACAGATCCAATGATTTGGTTTTTCTTTTGTGTGTTTGTGTGTGTGTGTGTGCGTGCGTGCATGTGTGTATCAGTGCATTTGCCCTATTTTGATATAAATATGTATTTGACAGTGTGTCAAATAAGAAGATAAAACCAGCTTGCCAGTCAGTCAGTTGATCGATCAAACAGTCCGCCATTGATATCTCATGGTTTATGATGTTCTTCTGGCTTTGATGAAGGTTGTTGATTTGTTGTTGTGGCGGTTGTTGTCGTTGTTGTTGTTGCTGTTGAGGCTGCTGTTGGTGGTGTTGCTGTTGTCGATGTAGTTGTTTGAGGTGTTACTAATTTCTGATAGGCTAAATGTTGTTGTATAATTGCTGTTCTAATAAGACCAGGTAAGGCTCTTAATTGTTCCTGTTATTATAAAAATTTAAAAATAAACAATATTATATAATGTGAATATTCTAGACTTTTTGGTTAAAACATGCAATATTGAACAAAGTCTTATAGGTGGCGTCAGGGATACATGAAGTGTTATATAAAAAAATCATAAACTGCCTATGGAATATTGAACACGCACGGCTGACCTTGGAATGACCAGTCAGAATAACAAGTGGTTTTCACACTAAATATTAACGTTTATTTACCAGAGGAATACAGAGAATAATGAGGATGAAACAACACATTAAACATGAAATTTTTCCGTGACGTGATTTTGAAGATATCCCTCAATTATAATGAGAAGTATCAAGTTTTAAGTTGAACCAGTTTCTGTGCATGTGTTATCATTGAGGTGACTGAAGATGAGTTCTTTTGCTGATCCTTTTATCGCTGTTATCTGCGTTTTTAGTCTTCCACAAAAGCATTCGGTTGAATAAGTATGGGTTCCAGTAAGAGGAACGACAATAATTTACTGGAATAGTGAGGATAATAAAAATGAAACACCACTCCAACTCTAATCCTAACCAAAAACCTAACCTTAAACTTGACCTTAACTTTGATTCTAACCATAGTCCCAGACGTAGCTTGTCAATGGATGTGAACATTGAACGTTTGTTTATTGGAACTGGCAGCCATTTGTGGGCGACTCGAAGGCGCGAGTGGTCCGACCGCGTGCAAGTTTGAAGACGGCAGAAGGACACGAATAAAAGTACTTTATAACTTCATTTGTACTAAACATTTGTTTGTAGACTTGTATTCATCTTTCTTTAATTGCCAAACAATATAAATTCGTTCAAAGAATACTGGTGTTTTGGAGTTAAAGTCGAGAAAATACATAGTCATTATCGGTTCAAAGCGTCTTCGTTACAATGGGAACTTAGGGCTAAGTTCCTTGACATTGCTCTAACGAGATATCAACAGATTGTCCAGGGAGTACTTAAAAACCGGACTGAGATAAAAATATCACCTCATTTCATTATTATTATTCTCATAGATTCTGAGTGGAACATAAGGATCTGCTTTCTTCTATTTCCTACTCTCCTATTCAGTTGGGCCGACGATTACTCATAATCTCGCATCTCGTACTCCAACTCACACGATCTCCTCTATGTCACCCTCGCACCGACGACCCACTCGTCGCTTCCCAATAGGATTCCACTCGAGCAATGGCCTGCATAGCACGCGAAGTCATTAGTGGTGTATGCCCTATCCATCTCCATTTTCTCCTACATATTTATTGAGCAATCGGCTTTTGGTTGATTGGTTGGTTTGTTCCTAGATAGAGTTTCTTATCGATAATTCTTTCTGGCTGGCCGGCTGGCTGGCCATTCAATCTTCAGTATGGAGTCAGCCAGCGAAGGTGGCAGCTGTTGATAGGAGTCTTCATTCGCATGTTGGAAATCCTTCTTATGTCACGCTGGTGAAGTTTCTGACCCATGTAGAAGCACTAACTGTCTGTATGACATAATATTTGTGATGAAAATCCGAGCTTTATTCATTATGCTGAGGTGGAGTGCAGTGGAGAATATTTCGAAATTGGTTTCAGGTTAATGAAGGTGTACACATTACCTTTCCGATTCTGGTCAGCTTTGATGTCTTCATCAATGGTGTCGACTGTGGTTGAAACGACGGTTCATAGATAAGTGAAGGAAGTAACCTCTGTGAAATCTGTCCCGTTGAGATCGAGATGAGAATAGCACCTCATTCCATGAACAGCAGTTATTCTGGAACTACAATAATGAAAGGTCTCATTATCCAAGATTACTGATGCCTTAATAAATAATAATAATAATTTGCTCTATTCCAAAACAGTACTTGTGATACGGAATAGAATTCTCAGCATTTTTACTACAGTATAGCATCCAGTTAGTACGTTAAAAATAAATAGAATTCTACAAAGATTAAGGGTAGTCTCAGTTCATTATGACAACAACATATTGGCATGTCGGTAGCAAAGCCAAAGTTGAACAGAGTGTTTGAAGGTGTTAGAAAAGTAGGTGCTGTCATATTTACTGGCGTAAGCGGAAGAAAGAAACAAAGCAGAACATAACAGAAAAAAGAGAGAGAGAGAAAAGGAAAAGAAAGAAAGAAAATGTTGTACCTATAAATAATATGAGTTGGAGAGACGAGGTCCATTTGTACTACTGACTATTTAATGAATTATAGGTGTCACGTCTAATGCTTTCTTTATCGCACAGAACACGAGCTAAGTAGGGTATGGTTGAGTTTTTGTACTTGCTGGTGCGAGCATATAGTTTTCTATATAGGCTTCTGGTTTTGCCTGATGAGACGCAAGGGGAGAGTTGTGAGTGAAGAGGGTGGTGTGAGTTAGATAAAATGGATTTGGCCCATTTTTCACATGAGTCCATGTGCCTGTCGACCAGAATATTAACAAGCTGGCTAAGTGGCACGTGCCTTTGCACTTCCGGATCGATATACTTTAACTCGGCCATAAACTCAAGCAGTATAGTCGACCAGTATAAATGGTACTAATAAGTATGAGCAATTGAAAGTTATCAGTTCACTCAAGTAGTTAGTCAGCATTTCTATGGTTCCAACTGATTCAGTCCTTGGAGATCAAATAAATCAGGTTCACAGCTGATGAACTCGGCCTCAAATTAAAGGAACGTACAAGACATGTAAAACAATGCTGAGTACATTGGTCCAACCAAATCATTTAGAGGGGAATTCAAAATAGATAATTTTGTTAAATAAAAAGTGACACTCATTGCACAAGAAGGGGTTCTCGTGGTTTCTTGAATTTTAATGGACAATATTTCAGTGTATGAAACGACAGATAACTTACTGGAAACACTATCACTCATTGAGGATGCGGATGTTGCTAGCTGATGTCTGCGCAGAATGGATGAAACGTGCATGCATGACTCCACTGGTAGCCATTAGAAATCGAACAAGAAAATAAAGCTCTTCAGCTATCTTAAATATCTGTGGATATTATGACGAATGTATTTCTCAAAGAGTCTTTATATGAATGTTGTTGTTTAGGAAATATTGTCTGCCTTTACACACAATGCGTATGATAGCCAAACCTTCAAAATAAGCTAAAGTAAAGATTGGGTTTTATGATTTAAGAAGAAAGCTGGCTATAAGTATTCATATATCCGTCTAAGTCCTTAGAACATGTGAAACATGATGTCACATCCCACTGTATTTACCGATTTCAATGTACGTGTGGACACACATGCATTGGGAGGACTCATCGATCTCTGCAAGTAAGGGCTTCAAAGTCAAATAGAATCGCCGGAACCCATGAATGGTGAGAACAGACGACCCAGCTTCTCCATTGCGAAACACATTATTAAAATAGGACATAAAATGTATTTTTACACGTCTTTTAAACCTACCTGTAAAATGTGTTTGGGGCGTATGCTAAAGTTTGTGGAAGCCTAGCATTGGGAAGTTTAAACCACCTTTATGCGTTCAGAAACAATTCGTCATCACAATAAACCGCCCTACTTGGTAAACTATGTTTTGATACCAGCCAGGATAGATGTACCATTAACCCCTTCTTTGGTTTAGTGATCTGCATTGTTATTTCGACCTTCAATATGTGCTTTTAACTTGACCTAAGTTTATTTTCTCACACCTAAATTCTTTATTATTTTCACATATACATGTATTCTCATGACAAGTCCATGTGCGATCAGACTGTTCAAGATTTACTGCGGAAATACATTACAAGATTCAGACAAATTACGTCTTCTCATTGCTTTGTCTATATTCTATATTCCTTATGTCAATTTAATTTGTTTTCATTCTTCTTGTTACTCACAAGTAGTATGATTACAATTTAAAAGAAATCATTAATCTAGCGGTTGAGTTGTTTTGCACTAATGTCATGAATCAGTAACCCTCTTCTACATACATCGATTCAATTTAGTTGATCTCACCAGTTAATTGTCAGCTGGAATAGCTCAGTGGTAGTGCCTCTGGATTCGGTGTTGGGTACTGATCTCCTAGGAGATATTAATTCCTTAAAGTTCATGAAACGCTGGTCAAGTTTCTGACCCGTATGGAAGGACTGACTTACTGATTTCACACTTGTGTTGAATATCGGAATCTTGTTCTTTATGCTCATGTGGACTGCAGTGGAGAAGATTTCCAAACTGATTTCAAATCGATGAAGGTGTTGCTTACTTTTCCGATTCTGGTTGTGTTTAACATCTTCATCCGTGGTGTCGACTTTAGTTGAAACCGTGCTGCTTAGATATTAACCTCTGACAAATCTCTGCCGTTGATGGTAATTGCAGCTAGTTGTTGCTGTTATTGCTGTTGGTTAGTTATCTTCATCTCCTTCGTCCTGTCTTCGAAGTCTGCCCTTCTGTCAGTTTGTTAGTTTTCGCCTGTAATTCCTCAAGCTTGTCTGACATTAGTCTTTAATAATCCACGAGTGAAGTTCAGATTTTTTTGAGTCTTCTTATCGGTGGTCCAGCGTATTCCTGTCTCCTCACTCCCTGTGCATAGTTTGCCGCATAATCCAGTCCATCTGTCTTACTGTCTTACTCCCTGGAGACAACCCACTTGTTGTCGATGCATGGCAATGTCGAAGAAATGGAACTTTCAATCATTTTCATGTTCCATGGTAAATTCAATATTGGTATGTGCGTCGTTGAATAATCCGACTAGGTAGTAAGCATGGTACTTCCATTGCTGCTCACTACAAAAGTGTCATCAACATATCGTTCAGCGTTCAGAAAGAAGCGGTTATCAGTCTTTCCTTGCTCATCCTGGTAACTGGATGTTTTCATCCTCTCTTGCATTTGATTAAGTAACGCCGGAAGATTCCATGGTGTATGATTATTATTATTATTAGCATTTTATGCATATATTGATTTCTGGTTTGGAATGAACTCTCTGTGTTGTAAGTATGTTAAAATTGTTTCTGTAGATAAACTTAATAATGTCTTCTTTAGGCTGTAAGCAACTGATGAGAAGCCAACGAAATAAACAAT